TGTATATATATATTAACCTAAACAATTTTCTCAAAATGTTCACATTTTTTTTTACCAAATTTTTTGATCCAAAACAAAATGAGTAATTTAAAACTTGTAACAATTCTTATTTAAAAGTTACTGTTTAGATCGTGCTGATAAAATAAACAGATCAAGATTTTTTGTCATTAATTAAAAATGCCATAATACAAAAACTACTTTTATATTTGTTCATTTTTGTACTTCCAAATAGTTTTATTTGCTTTTCACTACAACAACTATTCCCTTTTATATTATATTATATTATATTACGCAATATATTATATTATATTATATTATATTATGTTATATGATATTGTACAATATATTATATATTATATTATGCTATATTATATTATAATATACTGTATTATTATATTACATAGAAAAAATATATGTATATTACATTGAAAATGCTACAGTAACACTTCTTAAGAGGCTGGATTCCACCGCTCCATCACATATATTGTCAGTGTTTATGGGGGGAGGGGTGACCCATAAAAAATCTGTCCAGTTTAACACACCATGATCCACATTACAAAGTAAGTTTTTAGTGGGGCCACAAGAACATTAATCTCAAAAAGTTCAGCATAAATGAATAAAATGTTGCTTCTTCTATTTAGTTTGCTATAGGTTTTAAAGTTAAGGTTTTAAAGTTAAGGTGTTTTTAAGACAGAGCAAACTACAGTATACACCAGACTGATTGTCGTGGGATCATTTTCTTGATTAAATGTATACTAAGTAACTATATTTATGCTTTAAAGTCATGGGTTTTGTTTATATCTAAATATATATATATTGTTTTGGAAATATTTGACTTGGTAAGTATAGAAAACTATAAAATGTGCACACATTTCTAGTAGACGTGCAGCTGTTAATCACTGCGCCTGCTTGAAGAGGTCTTGGTTACACAAGTGTCACTGTGTTTAATCTATGGCTGCCACGCAGAACAACAGCTGGAACAGCTGGCCTCTCGGCACTAAAACTCTGTGGACAGTTTCCCCCTGTGAAGCCGTCGTGTGGAAAGTGTTCGCAACACGCGCAGCCACTGAGTTTTAGTAGGTGGCAGCGTTGACCTTCCTTCAGGCATGTGAGACAGTCAAAAAGTGATTCACGCCGATTTCATCATCCAAACCCAATACACGCCGCGTGGGAGAGGCAACGGAGACGGGTCATGTGAGGATATCAGAAGCCAGGTGGCATCTGTTGAGCGTTTGCACCGTGTCGTGCTAATTAGCTGCATGGCAGTAGAAAATAAGCTGACTGCTGTAGCTCCGGGCTGTAACTTACTTCACTTTCAGTTCCAACATGAAGGGCCTATCTGTGTTGGGATGGCAATCCAATCTGTGGAAACTGTTCATGCACTAAAGAAGGCCATAAAGAGCCGGGGATTCATCTCCTGAAATACTCATTTTACACGTTTATGGCCTTCGTTCTCCTCTCAACATATGGCTTCTTCTGTTTTTATCAGCCCGACACTGTAAAACCTTAACCTGTTTAAGCACAAACAAGGTAGAAATATATAGTGTTTACCTTCAGAACAAGACACTCCACTGGCTCTTAATGTGTCTTTGCTTTGATTTTTTTTATTGATGCTTTTCATCAAATATCTCTACCCAGATGGACAGCTGTATAAATACTTATATCTCATATAAGAAATACAAATTATAACAATTTATAACCAACAGCTGGTAAAAATATTTGATCAGTAAAGTTATTAAAGTAAAAAAACAGTCAATGTTTCAGGATAAACAGTATTTCACTCAAACATACATTAACTCAGATTTGCTGAATTGTTTTTATGTTATTGGTTCCTTCAGATTTGGGTGGGGGTTTTTTTTGTAGATAATTTTAGAACAAGTCTCATAAAAATGATTTAGGAGTCATTACTTCGGTTAAATTTCAATCTGTGTACAGAAACAATAGAATAAAGGTTTTTTACAGTCCCAGTAGACTCATTGATTTTCTTTATGTTGCAATAATGGCAAAAGATTGGAGACTTTTCATTAAAGACACTGGAGTTTAACATCTCTACCTGTCCATAAAGTCGTGATGCTGCTGTATCTGATGTACTCATGTCATATCTCTCTGCTCCACTGGAGAGTTCATGTGTCTTTTTATCTTCCACAGGAAAACATTAAGAACAGGATGTCCACCGACTGGAGTTGAGAAGCTCATCTGTCCGAGAGTAATGTCCAAAGAAAACGAGATACACTGTCAACATGATGCTATCTTTACACAGATAACAGAATGACACAGCACAGATAAGGACAGTGGTTATGAAAATCATAAAGTACTTGGACACGATGCAATTTAGTCCTGAAAATTAATTAATTAAAAACAATGCAGACATGTTCCTGTTTTTAGTTTTCTACACAGCCTTATAATCTAGCTGTTTTTTTTGTTGTTTTTGTTACTTTTTCTGTTTGACTGTCCTTTTGGTTGCCATTTTATTTTAATCTGTAAAAATAATAATAATAATAAATGTGTATGCCTCTTTTGTGATTGTCTATTGTTGTTGTTATTCACTGTTGTCATCACTCTGTTAAAATCAGGTCTCTCTTGTAAATGAGTCTTGGAGACTCAATGGGATTAACCTGTGTAAATAAAGGTTGAATTAATGAATTAATAATATAATACACATTTTATTATTGGCTTAGTTGTTAAAACAGAAATTGGTGGAGTCAACTTTTCTTCCAATTATTGACTATGGCGATGCATTATACATGAACACATCTGCTCAGTGTCTTCACATGATGGATAGCGTGTATCATGGCGCTTTGTGGTTTATTACAAATTATGGAGCCCTAACTCATCACTGTCTCTTGTATGATAAGGTCAAATGGACGTCTCTGCATGCACGCAGGCTTGGCCACTGGTATGTTTTGATTTAAAAGGTTATTCTTAAGTTGACAGCACCTTATATTTCTTCTTTGTTAACTTTAAACAACACGACCTACAGCCTCAAGTCTCAAGACTTTTTAAATGTTAGTGTTCCTCGTGTCAGAACAGAAAGGGGCAAGAAAGCCTTCAGCTTTTCTGCTCCAACCTCATGGAACAGTTTGCAATCAAAGCTTAAACTTGTATCTCTGAATGTATTTAATACCATGGTAGATCCCTATATACTCAAGTTGCACAAGTGCAATTGTTTTAATTGAGTCATTTGTTTTATTGTAGGTCTATAATTATTGTGACTATATGTTGTAACTGAGTGGGTATTTTTTTTTTTTTTTTACTGAGTGTCCCCCACCCCCTATATCTGTATGCTGTCAGTCTTGGCCAGGTCTCTCTTGTAAAAGAGATATTGATCTCAATGGGACAAACCTTGTTAAATAAAGGCTATTATTATTATTATTATTATTATTATTATTATTATTATTAAGCGTTTGGGTTGCATTTGTGTTTGAAGTGTTTCATCCATAAAGTCGAGTTGAGCTGAGAGAAGAGTTCCTGACAGACCCTCCAATAAAGCTAATGTGACTAGTTTTTAACAGGTTATCTGAGGCCAGTGGAGACTGAAAGATCTCATGCTTGTGCACTTAACCCACGTGTGAAAACAGAAATGATCTTGTTGAATAATGGCTTCATCTTTCTGGCTTAACTATAGGCTAGAGCTACAGTTTATGCTTGAACTGAGCTTCTAGAAGACTTGGGAAGTCTCTTTGTCATGCACCACTACTGCCCTCTACTGGCAAAGATTGGTATAACACCAGAAATTATTGTGAGTGAGTGCCACAACAAAAACAACTAAAACACAAGTAAAGAAATGAAAGTTGTTGTTGGGGGGCCGGGGGGGGGGGGGGTGCATTTTAACAGTCAATTAGTCCTGGGTGCCACATGTTGCCATGTGTGTTTAAAAAAAAGAGGAAGAGCATGCATCAGGATATACAAATGCCAAAACTATGTACATATTCAAGAAGATGATAAAAAAAAAATTTTTCAAATATTAAGTATAATGTGAGTTCATAAAAATTGTTTACAGTTGATCTTATATATTAGCTAAGTTTTTTTTATTTTTTTTATTTATTTTTTTATTATTAATTCATCTTGCTTTTGTATAGTAATTTTGTTTGGAATATATTTTGGGGACATGGGGCAGATATTATAAGAACTCATTCTTCTTCTGCTGCCTTTCATTTTATTTCTGTGATTGTATATCTTTTTTCTTTTCTTTAAATTGTATTATATTTGTTGTTTGGATGAAATGAAATGAATAAATAAAACATACATACATACATACATACAGAAGATAGTTCCGATGCTGGGGGTGTATCACTCCGCCAGAATTTGTGTCAACGCAGCCTCGGCATCGGAATATGACGATCTATTTTTGTTCCGCGCACACAGACATTCGTGTAATAATGCGTCCGTTGTTCGGTCGAGAAAACAATGACAAACTAAACAAACGATATCAAAAATATAGGAACAACTTATATAACATCAAGTTTTGTTGGTCGTCTGAGAGCATTACGTCAATCCATTTCCTGGACAGAAATATTTCTTCATTCAACCTTTATTTATACGTGTTGGGTTTTCATAACTGTAAAACATGCAGTCAATTTATTTCATAACTTCAAAGTTATGCCCTTTGAGTAAAGACTGAGTCGTGTGGGTGTTGCTGGTTGTCAAAGTTTCGGTTCCAGTGAGACAGAAAGTGAAAGTTACTACCTTCATTCAGCAGGTGTGATGAAGACGCGCTGCCGACGCTCTCTACACAAAATGTTCACCACCATCACTTATTTGACATCGAGACTCCGTAGGCCTGATGGTTTTTCTCGGTTTTGGTTAATAGTGCACTGGATAGGCTCGGTTTTTGGCTACTTCATAAGACCAGCGTTGCGTTGGCTGAACCTCGGAGGAAAAGAAGCTGAAGAAAACAAAGAGGATGTGGGAGAGACTGGGACTTCTGGAGGAGATAAGGGAGAGTTGGCTGGTGATGAATATCGAGTGCCCCCCACAGATGAGCTGTACTGTGACTATGATTCAACCTGGGAGACTGATCCGAGGCAGGACTCCGCCACACCTGACCGGAGCCCACGTTCAACAAACAACAAACACGTGAGCTTTATTTGACAGGAAGTGTTTCACTGCAGGCATTTCCTGCTTAACTATCGCCCTCAGAGTCATGAGGACAACTTGTTGACTGTGTTTCCTTCTGCAGTACAAGTTCAGCAGATTTAAGAGCGCTGCTAAGGACATGCAGAACTACAGGCATAACTATCCAGTGAGTTTCACACACACACACAGACAAAGTCCATGCTCAATAATCCAGGTATACAATCCAACAATTTTCAGTCAGGTCGTCTTCCTGACTGAAAATTGTTGGATTGTATACCTGGATTATTGAGCATGGACTTTGTTGGTTTTGAACCAGTTTGACATGACTGTTGATGAGGAAGAGGGCCGACACTGGAGAGAAGGGGGCGTGCCAAAGAGACCATCTTAGCACCAACATAACTGGTTTGTTCCACTTTGGAGTAAGCTGTTTGGGGGAAGAATCAGTTTTGTGTTGTGTGTTTCCTTGACTGATGAAGCCTTCTGGATGGAAGGTGAAACATTTCAGAAAAAAAAAAACTGTCCAGATGACCTGACTGAAAATTGTTGGACACACACACAGAGTTTAATCAACATTTGGGGAGTGGTGGTGCAGGGATTAGAGAAGATGGGCTTGTGATCGTAAAGTCACAGGTTCAACTCCACAGACAACATGAAAATGTGGGTGGAAAAGGTGAAACACCCACGCCTGCCTCCACCCTTATTTGCTCCACTTTGGGCCCTTGAGCAAGGCCCTTAACCCCCACCATCTGCTCCCAAAACAGGTCTTGAAAATAAGTTCTCATGACCCAGTGAGACTACCTGCATAAATAAAGGGTAAATAAATCAACATGTTCTCTGTTTTCACAGCAGCTAACCCGTAATCACCACAGGAACCCACAATCATCTGTAAGTACTGATCAGTGTTTATAAAGTGACTATGGTTTTTTTTTTGTAAATACATTAAAGTTATGTTGTTGTTGTTTTTTTAACAGGTTGACAGGCCAAATTTAATGTTCTATGTTGGAGAGGCACCATGTTTACCAGACGGTAGGCCTTCTGCTAACACACTGAACGATGTCTGTGAAAGACGCTGTGCAAATCCATGCATACAATGTAGGTGTAGAATAGTCTTTGTGGGGGGGAGGGGGGGGCTTCTGAATCTGGGTGGTAGTGTTGTCAGAAACCTGTAGCTTCTGCCTGATAGGAACAGTTCAGATGGGGTTGGACGCATGGAGCCCTTCATGATGTTTGTGGCTCTGCCATTGTAGCGTGAACTGACGATGTCATCCAGGGAGGGCAGGGGGCAGCCATTATTTTTTTATTGTGTGTGCCCTTAATAACACTGCTGTTGGCTGGAGCTGAGAAAGTTTTTATTTTCCTGCCACCAAAGTCAAAAGGCAATAATGCTTTTGTTCGTGTGTAGGTGAGCGTTCAATTTTTTTTAGCATCAAAATATGTCATGAACCACTTTGGCTCCACCGTGTATTTCTTGAATCACTTTCTTGATTTTAATGAAACTCTCAGGAAGTAATCATTTTATGTACATCAACAACTGACTAACTTTTGGAGTCAACTCCAATTCAAGATGGCCACCGCAGCAAATAAACATTAGCCAGCACAACGTGTCTAGAACATGCATTGGAGTTGTTTTAAGCAAATCCCTTAACTAGCCGTTAGCTCATCAGGCTGAACTCCAACAGATAACCATACCGATTTATTTATATATATTAACAGCTACAAGGCCAACCAAAGTGCTGTAAAGACAGAACAACAGACAACACACGAAGCAAAATACAAAATGAAGTAAATCAAAAATATGGACATAAAAACGAGTGTGGAGCATACAGGTTCAAAACACAGATCATCTGGTGATGAAAGCTACTGAATAGTAGTGGGTTTTTAAATGGGACTTGAAAATCGAGAGGGAGGGGGCCTGTCTGGCAAGCAGAGGTAACTCGTTCCAAAGTCTTGGTCCTGCTACAGAGAAGGCCCTGTCACCTCTGCGCTTAAGACGAGTTCCTGGAACTGTGAGGAGCAATTGGTCTGCTGACCTCAGGGAACGTGGTGGGACATAAGGCTGTAGCAGATCAGAGAGATGGGGGGGCAGAAACTGTTCAGTGATTTGTAGACATACAGGAATATTTTGAACTGGATTTGAAAGTGAACCGGTAACCAGTGCAGTGAGGCCAAAACTGGAGTAATGTGCTCTCTTTTGCCTGTACTGGTTAAAAATCGGGCTGCTGCATTCTGAACCAGTTGTAGTCGTGCAATGGAGGTCTGACTGATACCAAACAGGAGCCAATTGCAGTAATCAAGCCAAGATGTAATGAATGCATGTATTACTGTCTCCAGGTTATTTTTGGACAATATGGGCTTCAGTTTAGACAGCCGCCTCAGTTGGAAGAAACATGATTTAACAATCATGTTTACATGATTGTTAAGCTTTAGGGAAGGGTCCATTATCACTCCCAGATTAGTGACTCTTTGTTTTTCTGATGGGGTTAGAGTGGAAAGGTCGATGCAGTGGTTTGTGATCGTGTCGTTGGGAGGGAACAACATGACTTCAGACTTATTTTCATTGAAACTTAAGAAGTTTAAAGCCATCCAGTCCCTGATGTCAGCCAAGCAGTCGAGCAGAGGTTGAATAGAGCATGCACCATTGTGTCTTAGGGGGAAGTAAATTTGACAGTCATTGGCATAGAAGTGAAAGGGCATGTTGTGTTTTAGGAAAATAGCACCAACAGGCAGCAGGTATAGAGAGAATAGGAGGGGACCCAGGGTGGACCCCTGCGGAACCCCCCATTTAAGCTCTGTCGCTGCAGAACTAAAATCCTTGATTTTTTTTTTTTTTTTTTTTTTTTTATTTTTTTTTTTTTTTTATTAAAGATTTTAATCACACATTACAAGCATCTGTTTGCCAGGGGTATAGATATTAATGTAAAAGAGATAATATTCTAGTACAAAACATAAAGAACCATGAACACAAAAGGATCTGTCAGTGAGGTAGGATCTGAACCAATAACCAGATAAGCTTTTAATAGTTCTTAGCTTTTCTACCAAACCCTGTTACTAAAAGCCAGAAGATCCCTTTAATTGGTGGCTCTAAATTGCTTATGAGTGTGAACATGTTTGTGTTTCTGTAATGGACCTATCCAGATGCACTCCTACATCTCACCTATTGACTGCTGGAAATAAACCCCAGCTCCTCTGGGCCCAGGACAGATCAATGGATGTATCCAAACCTAGGCCTGTCATGACATACAAAAAATCAATTAATCGCATGATGAATGAAAATTATCAACCTCATTTTCATTTATCGGCTTTATCGTTTCTTCGTGTCTCTCTCTTTCTACTGAAGACACTGGATGACAAAAAGTTCAACTCCGGTGCTCTTCACTGACTCCTCTCTTTCTCTTTTCTCTTTAAAATCTGTTTTAACCATCCAAAATCACAATTTTTGGATCGTTAAAAGCAGCTAAGCTGAGAAGCTAAGCTAGGAGCTAAGCTAACAGGCCGACCTCAGGAATAAACCTCCGTCTTGTCGAAGCTCCAAAACTCATGGTTGAAACCCGTGCCCTTGTGTAAAAAGTTGTTTTTCGCTGCAAAAAGAAGCTGAGAACTTGTTTACAGATTGTTTTATTAAAAGCTTTGTGTGAAAAATGCTATGCTAAAGAGCTCAAACCACACCTAGCGTCCGCCATGTCACCATGTCAGCACATGTCACATCAAGGGGCCTCCCTCCCATTTTTCTTAAAGAGACACGCTGCTCAACTATTCATCCTTTGGTTCAAACAGTCTTATACTGCCATCAGGTGGTGACAAAAGGTACTGCACTCCAAACAAATCAACGTTTCTTCTAAAATTTGACAATTAATTATTTTTACATTTCAAACAATATTATCGTTTATCACAATAATGTCTGAGACAATTAATCACCCAACAAAATTTGTTATTGTGACAGACCTATCCAAACCTGGATTTCAGTCCTACAACACTTTTCCACACCAAATTTAGACAGTGAAGTTTTACACTTTGTTTTGATTTTATTCAACTGCAACTTCACTGAAAAAACATTCGGCCAGAAGCTTCTCCTATATTACATTGCTCTATTCTTGTAAACCGATCACGCACATTTTATTTCAACGTTATCTACACACTTGACTCTGTCCTTCCAGTTTGCTGTACACACAGCCTGTCCCTGTTTGTAGGATTCCATCTGACATAACAATAAATTAAACCTCACCTAACTTTTATGACTACATGCATAAATCAGAATAATTTAATATTTTTAGGAACAAATTTATTTATGTTGCATTTGTTTTCAGGTATCTTCATAAAGGAAATCCACAGTCATTGGTGGGGAAATTATGACAAACTGGAATCTGTGCACACCTATATTCAGTGGTAAGCTACTCTTTGATTACAAATATACAGTAAAGTATTTTGTTGTGATTTTTATCAAAGTTTTCTCTCAAAGGTTGTTTCCTCTGCAAGAACCAGGGATGAACTATCAAGCCAGCATACTGACCAAACAGGAGATTAAGGTAACCTGACGGAGGACAGTATTTGAACAAACCTGAGTTTTACAAGTTCTCAACGAAGTTCTGCATTTCCTTCAGGATTTTTCTCAAAGCAACCTTGCAAAGCAAAACCTGCTGAGGTCATACAATCTCATGTTAGATTTCTACGGCATTGAGTTGGAAGATGTGACCACAGGAGCAGTGAGGAGAGCAGAGAACTGGCTGGACAGATTCGACAACCTGAACAGGTGAACTATACCTGCAGTTTAGGGAAAATAAAACTCCAGCATTCCTTTACTTTTTTCAATTTGGCTATTTTTCAGACGCACACATAACAACCTGCGCATCACCCGCATCTTGAAGTGCCTGGGAACCCTGGGGTACCGTCACTACCAAGCTCCTCTGGTCCGTTTCTTCCTGGAAGAGACCCTCGTCCATGGAGAACTTCCAAATGTCAAAGAAAGTGTCCTCAACTACTTTGTGTTTGCTGTCCTGGATAAGACGGAGCGCAGGCAGCTCCTACGGTTTGCTTACACTAATTACACTCCTAAAGAGGAGTTTGTGTGGTGCCCAGTGAAAATCCAGAAGACATGGTCTTGGATGCAAGGCGAAGGCCCCGGTTCTGAATGTGATCACGATGGATCTGAAGATTTAATACAGGTCCAAGTGATTGATGGAAGTAGTTAAGAATAATTAATGTAAAATCTAAATCAAGGTTGAAAAATGCTTTGTGCATGTAAAGTCTTCAATGAAGGACTTTACATCCTAGATTTACACAACAGGTGGTGCTCTTCTTCAGATAATTACATATCTGTAATGTTTCATTTATAATTTTATCTACCTTTACTCTTCCTGTTTTGGGGGCTGTGGTAGCTTGGTGGTCAGTGTCTTGTAATCCTGAGTCTGCGTCAGGGAGGGCATCCAGTGTAAAACAATTGCCAGATATTTCGTGCGAGTTAGCTCGCTGTGGCAACCCCTGAAGAAGGGAGCAGCCGAGAGGACGAGAGAAACTTTCTTTTCACTCTTCCTGTTTTGAAGTCATCTGATCCAGGTGGAAATGTTGAACACAAAGTGTACCTGTTCATAAGAGTACTGTCTGAATCACAATGCATCATTAATAACTTGTAAAGTATTCATTGTTTCTAAACTGATCGTTTAAAGGTTTTGTTTCTATTCTTGTTTTTCCATTGAAGGTTTGCAAAGCTCATCACCATTTATTTGAATTTAAACAAAGTTTTTGCCAACTAATTCTGTTTTTGCACAGTTTTGTTTAATTTTCAGCTTGATCATCTCTTACAAAGGTTGATTTCACATTGAAATGCCAGGTTTTGTTGGTTTGAAAATTTTATGTCTTTATCCAAAGACTGATTTGTCTTAAATGGCATAATGATGTTTTTGTTGCATTAAAACATTTTCTACTACATTTCTACTCACTGTACTTGAACCTGTTTTTCACCTTTTTAAGTTCAAATGTACATCAAAATATACTCATAATGTAAATGGACTGTACTTATATAGCACCTTTCTATCTTATCAATATACTCAAAGCACTTTACAACACAATCTGTGCCCTCATTTACCCATTCATACAACACTACAATGTCTGTACAAAGATTAATCAGTGCTTTATCAAATTCATACATCGATGGGACACACAGCGGAGGCAATGCAGGGTTCAGTGTCTTGCCCAAAGACACTTCGGCATGCGACTGCTGGTGGAATCGAACCCCCAACTCTTACATTGGAAGACGACTGCTGTAATCACTCAGCCACAGCCGGCCAATGTGGTTTTCATGACCCTCCTGGTGCCCCTGGATCAAAATGACCTACAGGGCCTCAGTCCTACAATTGAGGCCCTGTAGGTCATTTTGCAGAGCAGCAGGTAATTTAAATATTGTAAGAAAAAGAAGTAATGTGAGGTACTGCAACCAGGTTTCCCAGTGACTCTGAAAATCAGGAAAAACCTAGAAATTATTTTTACATTTTTCAGACAGCACTCAGGGAATTTGAACACTGACCTGTTGATTAAAAATTATATTTTTGGGATTCTGACCTGTGCAAAATGTTAGTATTCTAGTATCAATGAGTCCATGTTCTGTTTCTACAGTGTACATATACATAGTACTTGTATCCTTACTGAGGTGGCTTTTTATTAACTTATTTTCTTTCAGCTTTTCCCTTTTCAGCAGTCGCCACAATGAGTCATCCTCCTCCATCTCACTCCAACTACCTTCATGTCCTCTCTAACTGCATCCATATATCTCCTCTTTGTTTTGTTTTTCTGGCAGCTGCATTTCTAACATCCTTCTACCAATATACCCACTGTCCCTCCTCTGGACATGTCCAAACCATCCCAGTCTGGTCTCTCTAACTTTATCTCCCAGTTGTTCAACCTGTGCTGTACCTCTGATGATCTCACATTCCCATCCTTGTCACTTCTAAGGAGAACCTCAACATCTTCATTTCTGCCACTTCCAGTTCTTTCTCCTGTCTTTTTGTCCATGTCTCTGTCTCCAAACCATACATCATACTGGTCTCATCACTGTCTTGTAAGCGTTTCCTTTGACCTTTGCTGACACTCTTTTGTCGCAAATCAACATATTCTCACTCCCTACTCGTCATATATTGATGCGCGCGGTCAGGTTCCCTCTTCGTGACGTTCTTGATGCGTCGGGTAGCCCCTTCTCGTCATTAATTGACGTGCGGGTGCCGTCATTGAATGTTATGCCGTGATCTTCTCTTCCGGTTTGGATAGTGAAGCACTTTCATATCCGTTTATTTTTTAACAACAGGATGGACTTTCTGTCATTAATTTAAAAAAAGGACGGATCCCACCTGATAAAAATCCAATAACAAGGAAAAGCTGACGTCATCGTCTGCGACAGATTTCTGTACTACAAAACACCCCACACGTCAATTAATGACGAGAAGGGGCTACCCGACGCGTCAAGAATGTAACGAAGAGGGAACCTGACCGTGAGCGTCAATATGTGATGAGTAGGGAGTGCGAATATGTTGCGCAAATCACTCCTGAAACTTTTCTCCATCCTGCCTGAACTCTCTTTTTCACTTCTTTACCACACTCCCCATTTTCCTGGACAGTGGATCCCAAGTACTTGAAGTCATGCACCTTTGTGACCTCTGCTCCTTGTATCCTCACTGTTCCACCAGCCTCCCTCTCATTCACACACGTACTCTGTCTTACTACGGCTGACTTTCATTCCTCTTCTTTCAAGTGCATACCTCCACCTCTCCAAGTTCCCTTCCACCTGTTCCCTGTTCTCACCACAGATCACAATGTCATCTGCAAACATTATAGTTCATGGGGATTCCTGCTTGGCCTCATCTGTTAGTCGGTCCATGACAAGAGCAAACAAGAAGGGGCTCAGAGACGATCTTTGATGCACTCCCACCTCCACCTTGAAGCTATTTGTCACTCCTATAGCACATTTCACCATTGTCCTGCTGTCTTCATAAATGTCCTGTACCAGTCTAACATACTTCTCTGCATCACTTCCAACCTGTAGAGTATAACCACTGACAGCATTTAGCATCAGACCTTATTCTACCTTCAGACACATCACCCTATTTGACACTCTTTTTACCTCTACTACATTATTTGCCAACTCCTCCTTCAGGACCACCCCTACTCCATTTCTCTTTCTATCCACACTATGGTAAACCAGTTTGAACCCTGTTCCAATTAGGGATGGGGCAGATCCGATCCAGTATAGGTATCGGCGTCCGATACCAGCATAATTTACGTATTGGATTTTCCGATCCACCTGCCGATATTTCCGATCCATGATGTATGTTGGCTTCAAACTATGGAATGGATTTCCTGAACGGCGGCGTGTCTCATAAACCCAAAGTAATAAGATCCACCTCACATTCAGGAAATCCAGTTCATAGTTTGCAGCCAGCTACAACGTAAGGACTGAGTTAGCAGCACTGTGGCTAACAGCTAACAAACTTTTCATCTAAACATGTCCGCTGTGTGGAAGTATTTTACACTAAAAACAACACAAGACAGCATCGTGCAATGTCTGCAGAGCCATAGCGCCACATTAAACCATGTTAAAGTTAGTTTTACGATGGACTTTCGAGCTCTGTGGCTTCAGCGGGGGCACTACTCTTTGTTCAAACCAAAAGAGGCAACTCGACACCGGTCAGCCGCGTCCAATCTGCCCCGCTCAGTCTGCTCGTCTCCGAGGAGGGACAGTCTGAGCGCGGCTGCACCAAATCAAGCTGCCTGCTTCGGATTGAACAAGAACAAGACATCGCTGAAACCACGGAGCTCAAGTGTTTACAGAGAAGCTGCTAAACTTCATCATAATTAATGACCAACCACTATCAGTTGTAGAAAACGAAGGATTTCTCAGCTTGATACTTGCAGCCAAGATATAGTTTACCCTCCAGGAGATATTTATCAGTGCAACAGTAGACAATCATAAAAAACATGATTTGAAAATTATATATATTAAAAACATAAACAACTACATTATAAAGTGATGTAAAATACTAAAAACAGGAACATGTCTGTTGGTTTATGCCATGAACTTAGCAGATGTTTGAAGACATTTAACGTTTTATTTTATTTAATTCATTTATTCATTCATTTAAATGAAACAAAATTTTAAAAAAATCATCAAAAAGAAAACATTGAATGAAAAGAGTGCAAAAAGAAGAAAAAATTCTTATATCTGCCCCTTATAAAATATAAAACAACTTTAAACAATCACTTAAATTAATCACTTTACAGTAATATCCACTTTAAAGCTAGGAATTAAAAGAAACATGTTTTGTGTTAGCAGAATTTAATTCTAACTTTAAAACTTATCCAACATTAATAAAACTTACCTCAAGTTGCCTTTTTGGACATGCATGCATATATTTGTACAAATTGTACTTGAGAAGAGATTATTACAGCCTCATATAAAATCAATAATGATCATGATATCGGAACTGGATCGGTATCGGCCGATACTCAGTTCTAGGTATTGGGATCGGATCGGAATTTTAAAAAGTGGATCGTGCATCCCTAGTCCCAATGCTGCGAGCCTTGCTGCCCTTCCACTTGGTCTCTTGAACACATAAAACATCTACCTTCCTTCTCTGCATCATGTCAGCCAGCTCTCTACCTTTGCATGTCATTGTTCCCACATTTAGATTTGCAACCCTCAGTTTTAGTCTTGACTTTCCTCTAGACTTGACTTGATGTTATACAAAATAATTATCAGGAATGCTTGACATATGCAAAAACTGTACACTACAGCATACTTCCTGTCATCTCTAAATGTGACTCTGCCACCTAAGATGCCAAATTTTGAGCATTTTGTGTGACGTAAAAAATCTCCTGGAACTTCAGGATTTACCAATGAAAAATTCAGGGAATATTATTTTCATCAAATGCTGGGAACCCTGGTAACATAAGTTGATGTTCTCCTTTGAGTGTTGGTTAGGACATGCAGAAATGTAGTGAAATAACTGATCTTTATGATAAAATGTAAAAGACATTTGTGGTTAGTAGTCAAGAACACTCAAAACACAAACTGTTCTGAAAGAAACACTTCAACTACTAAATGCCAGCTGTATTTCTGTCTGTTATCTGGGCTCCCTAGTATCCAGATTCCATCCATCCATCCATCATCTTTACCCGCTTCTTCCTTTTCAGATTGCGGGGGTCA